TTTATCTTGGTTCCCAGGTTGACCTTCTGGTTATCAAACATCATAGCTTTGAGGCAGATAATTTCACAAGCGTTTGGTAGGTCTCGCATCACACAGATCTCTGAACCAAATGAGAGTGGAAATGGTGATTCAAGCAAGAAAACAAACCTGAGATGGAAGAATGGTTTCCAACAGCTTTTAGAGGATTGGCAAGAAACTGAAACATTTACTACTGCACTTGAGAAAATCGAATTTTGGGTATTCTCTAGAATCTTGGAGTCTGTTTGGTGGCAGGTATATATATATACCAAATGTCTTAACTAAAAATGAGCTTCTTAGTTAGTTGATGAAGCATCTCACTTACGTTCTTCTTCTTCTCCTATCTTTAAGGTCTTTACTCCTCATATGCAATCCCCTGAAAACGACTCATCAGCTAGTAAATCAAATGGGAAACTGATGGGACCTTCCTTGGGTGATCAGAACCAAGGAACCTTTTCGATCAGCCTATGGAAAAATGCTTTCCGAGATGCTCTGCAACGGCTTTGTCCTATGCGAGGCGCGGGACACGAATGCGGTTGCTTACCTGTATTGGCTAGAATGGTAATCAGATTATCCATTAGTTTTAATTCAAGCCAAGACATAATAATCATATTCATATATCGTCTTTAAACAGGTTATGGACAAGTGTATCGGTAGATTCGATGTAGCCATGTTTAATGCTATTCTCCGCGAGTCAGAACATCAGATTCCAACTGATCCCGTCTCTGATCCTATTCTTGATTCTAAAGTTTTGCCTATTCCTGCTGGAGACTTAAGCTTTGGATCAGGTGCACAACTTAAAAACGCGGTAACCAACACGAAACAAAGTTCATATTTTCATAGCCATTAGAAAGTTGGTAATGTTGATTAATCTGATGAGGCAATATTTCCCTTGAAGATTGGTAATTGGTCTAGATGCCTCACTGAAATGTTTGGCATGAACTCTGATGATTCTTCGGCGAAAGAAAAACGAAACAGTGAAGATGATCATGTAGAAAGTAAAGCCTTTGTTTTACTAAATGAATTAAGTGATCTTCTTATGCTCCCAAAAGATATGCTGATGGAAATATCCATTAGAGAAGAGGTGTGTGTTGAGATACATATCTCAGTTACCCTTTGTTTATCGGTTAAGCCGATCGTATTCATGAGCTTCATCTAGCTTTGTATTTGATTTACTGTTTTTACAAACAGATATGCCCATCAATTACTCTTCCACTCATCAAAAGAATACTCTGCAACTTCACTCCTGATGAGTTCTGTCCAGATCATGTACCTGGAGCTGTCCTAGAAGAGCTCAATGCTGCTGAGGTACAAATAATTCAAAGTTTGGATTGTTTTTGTTCTTATAATCCCAAAAGCAAAATTGTAATCATCATTTGTTGTTATATTTCCAGAGCATTGGTGATAGGAAGTTATCAGAAGCAAGCTTCCCTTATGCAGCTTCCTTTGTTTCTTACGTGCCTCCATCGACCATGGATATAGCAGAGAAAGTGGCAGAGGCTGCAGGAAAATTGTCAAGGAATGTGTCTATGATACAGAGAAAAGGGTACACAAGCGACGAAGAGCTTGAGGAACTGGACTCTCCTCTTACATCCATTGTCGACAAAGCGAGTGACTTCACTGGTTCAGCGACTTCGAATGCAAGATACAAGCTTCTTCGAGAAGTGTGGGTTTAGTTGAGTGATGATTGGTGAACCAAGTCAAACTGTAAGTAGTATGTATGTGTTGGTGTTGCTATGAATCTATGGGTATTTTTGCAAAGAGAATTTGGTGATACGAGCAACTATAATGTGGAGAGCTTCTCTGTTACATAGATAGTCTGTTTTAGGTATCATAAAGAAGATACTTAAATATGTATTCATGATTTTGATCAGATTTGTTTGATGAAACATGTTTGATTTTTTATTAGGCATCAACCAAAAACGTCAACATACATGGAAACAGATTGAGCTTTTAAAGGCTTCAATCCAGAAACCACTTCCTTATTTGAACAGTGAACACAACAAACCAGTGATACAAAACATCTACTCCCTATGTTTCAAAATATGTGATGTTGTAGTTAAAAACACATAGTTTAAGAATTTATTTATTTTCTTTTAAATCATCATTTAATATTTAATTTTTAAAAATCAACCAATTACAAAAAAGACTATAGAAAATAAATAGTCACAAAATATCAAATACATTTACAATTTGCATTAAACTTGTAAAACATTTTATATTTTGAAACAGATTAAAATCCCTAAAACATCATATATTTCGAAAAAAGGAATAAAGGTCATTTTGAAAAACTACTATGTTTTTGAGTTATACTTTGAAAAATATCTTTTTCTATATCAAATGTAAACTACATTCTTTTATATGTAAAATGACAAAATTTTCCAGATTTAAATTTAAAGTATATTTTAGTAAATCAAAATTAAATTCAAAATTTAGAAAGAAAAAAATTCGGAATAATATTAATTATAGTTTACTTTGCTGGCGAAAATCTGGTGCAGCTGGCTGAAGAACTGCAGCTGGCTGAAAGATTGCAGCACTCGGTGGTGGAACTTCTATAATGTTTTCAACCCTTAAATACTTCCTCTTTATTTGCGCATAATGAGGCTCTGTCAAATTCAGATTATATTTCATCGTAGACAGCATTCCTTCCATATCATCTAGATCATCGAACATAGCTCGCACATAAATGTTGCGAAGATAGTCCTAGTATTTAGATAGTTTTATTAACACTCGAATTGATTGACAATGGTCATGTATCAACATAGTCGTAAGCATGTATTGTAGATGTCAAGTTTGGCTTAGTTTTATTGCTTAATTAAAAATCTCGATAATGCTTTGGTATGATTAAAAATGCAGAGCCGTTCCTACTGTTTTCGAGGCCCTAAACGATTAAAGAAATATGGTCTATATTTATTCGTAATTTCTACTATAAAATTTTGTAAAGACAAATTGAGATTTTATTCTAATGTATCAAAAAATGTATAAGATATAACATGTGCGTTTTTATCAACTGATTAAAAAAAAGAGAACACTTTTCAAATTTCATTGAGATGTGTAGATTAAAAATACTAAAGAAATAGATACAAAAATAATTTACATAGAGTCTAAGCTTTTAGAAATAATTTACAGAAATAATTTTATTAAATAGAAGGTGAATAAAAAAGTTATGCACATTAGAAAGAGATTTAAGAAGTGTTAAAACTGAATCCATTAGTAAACAATTTTTCCATCTCATCTAACTTATTTACTAATGCTTTTATTTTTTTGCTTTGAAAAATTCTTGGTATAGTCTATACTTTCTTTTTCTTGTAATGAAGTTTTTACTTCACAAAGATGATGAGGTTGTGGAGAACAAATGACAAAGATAAAAGGGTCTAAGAGTTTTATGATGAATGAAAGCACTTTTCTTTAAGGAACTGATCTCTGACTGCAACGGTACATCAAATCCTATCTGCATATTCTATTCTGATCAAATCCTCAAGGCCACAAACTACTTTGATCCAAGTGGTTACATGTCTCGTCACAGATTCTTTTCTTGGCACAAGGGAATAATCCAAGAGAGGTGTTACCTGATCAAGAGATTTAAAGAAGAATATATATTAGGAGTCTATGAATCAGTGGTTTACAATGACATTGTGATATCTGCTCGAGTCAGCAACCACAATAGTTTTCTCAAGCTATTAGGAAGTTGTCTTGAGTTTCCTCTTCCAATTCTGGTGTTCGAATATGCGGAAAATGGTGCTATGAACGATCAAGAAGGTGTTGGTAATGAGAACATACAACTATTGCAATGGAACGTTAGATTAAAGATTACAAAGGAAGTTGCTAATGCTGTGACTTATCTTCACATGGCGTTTCCACGGATCATTATACACAGAGAAATAAAACCGACGAATGTGTTCTTGGACAAGAACTGAAAAGCCAAGCTGTCTGATTTATCCATTTCTATATCTCTCCCTGAAGGTAAGTCATGGATTAAAGATAAGGTGATGGGAACACTTGGATACATTGATCCATCTTATCTAGCTACGGGTATAGTGACAGAGTACACTGATGTCTTCAGCTTTGGAATCTTTTTGTTGGTTCTTCTAAGTGGGAGACCTGCTATTTTGCCTGGATCTTCTGATAGTATTCACGCATCCCCACGGCTGCAAACACCTTAAGTGGCCACCGCAGACAATTTAAAATTGGGCTATGCGGCCTCCAGGAACTACTATTGCCGCCTTCGGGACGCACGCAGTGGGCTAGGAATGACACGCATTTAGGAATAAAATCTGAATAACTTATTTTTGTCAGCTATAAAAACAAAACAAGAAAGAAGCTGAAACACATAGCAAAACTAATCTTGTAATATTTGTTCTTCTCTCTTTGAACGAAAGGAGTGGAGACAAAACTGGGGATATAGGTGAGGTGAGAAGGCCAAAGATCAACCACAGAATCTATAGGAATCTTCCTAAACAAAATAACACAGGCATAGCCATTGCCCAGTACTTGCTTGGGTAGTAAGTAATAAATGCATGTAGACTCCAACAACTTATATGGTACATACCCCTATAACAAGAAGATCATAGTGGCAACTGGCAACAAGAATCGAAATGGTTCCTACAAAACCATAAACCTCACAAGGTTTTGGTCCACGTATTTCACAACTGTCTGCATCCCGGAAACTAAATTCTTGATTCAATCTTAAAATCCTTCTCGAACTATTCGCTAAATGAGCTTCTTCTTCCATTTTTTCACACGAAAAATCGTTGAGAAATTGAACAAGAAAACTAATTTTTGTCATGTGTCTGAAAAAATACCAATTTGAAGGACGAAAATTGCAAATCTTACCAGAACAAAGATACAATCAAAATGATCAAATCTCAATTGAGAAGACACAATGATAATTTTAACCTAAACGAATTGTAACACTTTTTGAAGATAAAATCAGAAAATCAAGTAAAATATTTGGGAACTAGGGAAAATTTGGGGGATGGGTATAGGGAGGCCCGCACGAAGCAGTTCTGCAAAAGTAAACAGCGTCAACGCTTCGGCCAGCCTATAACCCCTCCAAAAATTTGATGTTTTACGTCAGCGCGACCGATTCTCACCGGACGCTTTGTTTTCCTTACTCATTAGTTTAAGGCAAGTTTTTACAGAAGATGCCCATCACTATCTTATAGTAGCGTAGATCGGTATCAGGATTCTTAAGGTCCCGATGTGGGACAAAATCAAAGACAAGCCCTTTACAAATATTTCACCGAAAGGTGGGAGGGGGCCGAAGATCAAAGGGAAAGTAATTAAGCTTATATGGGCCTATTATGTATGTAGAGCCCAAAGTTGAAATAGAAGTCAATTTTTTCTTTTTCTATATATCGTTAAATCGCTTACCTTATGCGTTTCTCTGAATCATGAATCATTGAATTGATTGGTACAAGATTGAGATCACAATCCTTACATCAACATTTAATGGCTCAATCCTTACATACAGTAAAATTCGCTTATTTTCAGTGTTTTTAAAATCGGACCAACCCGGTGGTCGGACCGGGTTCAACCATGAACTCGAACTGGAAATGTGGCCGGGTTGGGTTTTAATCAAACCCAAAAGCTATTAAACCAACTAAAAACCATCAAAAACCTATGAATCGGATGAACCAATTGAACCGGTTGGCCTCGATTTAATAAATATCCTAAAATTTAAAATATATTTACATTATTTTCTTTTAAATTTTCACTTTTAAAACTAATTAAGTATGTTTTATACTATAAAAGTTAATTAAAAGCAATAAATTATAGATTTTAATTTTCATATCAAAAAATATAATAAATTACAATTATGATAATATTTACTATATTTATTTTTATATTTATATATTTATAAATTAAAAAATATAAATTTTTCGAACGAGATTCGACCCGGTAAGACAATATTAAACTGTGACCCAAATAGTTATCTGGTTTGGCTTTCGGTCAAGGTTTACTCTCTTTATCAAAAACAAAATCAAGGTTTAACTCGTAAACTTTTAATCCAAAATGGTTAATAACATTCATCAACACATGCTAATTTTGGAAGTGTGGGTAGTTGTGCCTATAGATAGAGTGTTCTAGGAGAGCGTGGACACACGCGCCTACGCATAATCATCTGTCTTATTTACACGTGAAAAACCAACGGTAAAGATGAAATGTGAATAAACAAAAACAGAGGTTGAGAAAGCGAGTAGAAAACGTTTCCTTTTTTTTTTCACGGCGCATTCCTGAATCCAATTTTTTCCCTAGTTTAAAAATTTTCCTGTATTCTGAAGGGAAATTCATAATTGGATTTTTCTCAGGTTAATCTGCTTCAATTCAGATTTTTAGGCCTTAGATTTAGATTTTTTACTGACCCAGTTTGTAAGTTCAATCGAAATTGGAGCATTGTAATCTGCAGTACTTGTAACATTAGATCGCTACTGTTATCTAATTCTGAAATTTTGTTAGGTGGGTTTTGGGTTAGAATTTGTTTAGCTTTGATCTCACTGAACTTAGTATAGCGTGGCTTTTGTGTTGGTTTAAGAATTGTTTCTTTTACAGGTGTAATCTCCGGTGCCCTTTTGTACATTAAGGATGATTTTGAAGTCGTTAAACAGAGCAGTAAATAATAGTATTTCTTACTTTACCTCTTCCAAGGTGGTAACTTTCAGTGTTAGTAGTTAATGATCCATGAAGAATGTTATCTTGTAGGAAACCATTGTAATTTGTAAGTATGGCTTTAGTTGGTGCCATGATCGGTGCTGCAGCAGGAGGTTGGATCAATGACTACTACGGTCGTAAAAAAGCAACTTTGTTTGCTGATGTTGTCTTTGCAGCTGGAGCAATCGTTATGGCTGCTGCCCCTGATCCTTATGTCTTAATATCGGGTCGTCTCTTGGTCGGTTTAGGAGTTGGTGTTGCTTCTGTGACTGCGCCTGTTTATATAGCGGAAGCATCCCCTTCAGAACTCAGAAGTGAGAGGTGGGCTTGTGAGCACCAATGTATTGATCATCACCGGTGGACAGTTTCCTTCGTACCTCGTTAATTCTGATTTCACACGGGTTAGTTAGTTAGACATATCTTTCCTCACCACAAACAGTTTTAAATTTTGATTAATATTGTTACTTCCATAGAGAGCCATAGTCTATAATCTTTGCCATTCTATGACAAATGCGTCATTCCTGTTATGTGCATTGTAAGCATTCTAGGAATTGCCATAGCGGTCCGTGTATTCATACCTGTTGATGGGTTTACAAGTTTACTCTTTTCATCTAACTCTGCTTCCCTTATGCAGCTTCCTCTGTTACTTACATGCCTCCATCGACCATGGATGTAGCAGAAAAAGTTGCAGAGGCTGCAGGAAAATTGTCAAGGAATGTGTCTATGATACAGAGAAAAAGGGTACACGAGCGATGAGGAGCTTGAGGAACTGGACTCTCCTCTTACGTCCATCGTCGACAAAGGGAGTGACTGTACTAGTTCAGCGACTTCGACTGCAAGATACAAGCTTCTTCGACAAGTGTGGGTTTAGTGGAATGATGATTGGAACCAAGTATAGGTGTAACTAGTGTGCGAGTTGCTATGAATCTATGGCTATTGCAAAGAGAATTTGCCTATACAAGTAATGCTTCTATTATATAGATACTCTGTTTTCAGGTATCATAAAGAAGCTAATCTAAAAATGGGCTTCATGATTTTGATCAGATTTGACTGTTGAATACAGATTTTAATTTATTTTTATAAGCCATCAAAAACATTGAACAATTCACGTAACATAAAAATGCATGATGATGTAGGAGAGAGATATCTATGATGGAAGATGGAAGTAATGACATGATAATCACAATTTTAATTTCTTAGTCACAAATATTGGTTGCTGTGGACACGATGATGATATTACCAATGAATTAGAAAGGAATCAATGATTACTATATAGTAGAAGGAATCAATGATTACTATAAAGTATATAGCGGTCGTGTACATTGAGAAAATGCAAAAGATACCAAAAAAACAACAACACAAATGTCATATATAAGGAGTAACTAGGTACATGAAATATACTATTAGGAGATCCAAAGCTTATCTTTTTACAATATTGTTGACTTTACTTATCTGAAGTATATGATTTTATGGCTCTACATGTTCCAACAATCACCATTACCTAATACTTGTTGATTCCTCATTAGCCAACAATTTTCCATCTCACCTAACTTATTTAATGCCTTTCTTTTTTTGCTTTTGAAATTTTCTTGGTATCACTTTCTCTGAATTGCTCTATACCCTCTTTTTCTCTTGTAATATAAGTTTTTACTTTAACAAAGATGATGAGGTTGTGGAGAACGAAGGAAAAAGATAAAAGGGTCGAGTGGTTTATCAAAAATGGAAGCACTTTTCATAAGGAACTGATCGCTGACTGTAACGGTACATCAAATCCAATCTGCATATTCTCCTCTGATCAAATCCTCAGGGCCACAAACAACTTTGATCCATGTGGTTGTATATGTCTTCATATATAGATTCTTTGCTTGGCACAAGGGAGTAATCCAAGATAGGTGTTACCTGATCAAGAGATTTAAAGAAGAATATATATTAGGAGACTATGAATCAGTGGTTTACAATGATATTGTGATATCTGCTCGAGTTAGCAATCACAATAGTTTTCTCAAGCTATTAGGATGTTGCCTTGAGTTTCCTCTTCCGATTCTCGTGTTCGAATATGCGGAAAATGGTGCTATGAACGAGAAAGGAGGTGTTGGTAGTGAGAACAGACAAGTGTTGCCTTGGAATGTTAGATTAAAGATCACAAAGGAGGTTGCTAATGCTGTGACTTATCTTCACACGGCGTTTCCACGTATCATTATAGACAGAGAAATAAAACCGACGAATGTGTTCTTGGACAAGAACTGGACAGCCAAGCTGTCTGATTTCTCCTTCTCTATATCTCTCCCTGAAGGTAAGTCATGGATTAAAGATAAGGTGATGGGAACACCTGGATACATTGATCCGACTTATTTCTCTACGAGTATAGTGACAGAGTACACTGATGTGTTCAGCTTTGGAATCTTTTTGTTGGTTCTTCTGAGTGTGAGACCTGCTATTTTGCCTGAATCTCATGATAATATTCATGATTATGTGAAAGGTTTAGAGGATAAAAGAGAGTTCTTTGAACTTTGGGATGAGTTCAGTAAAAAATCGATGTATGCATATCTCGAGCTTGCGTTGAGATGCTGTGGGAGGAGGAAAGAAGAGAGACCGAAGATGATCGAAGTGGCGAAAGAGATTAAGCTGATAGAGCGATCACTAGAATATAAAGACAAGATGTGAAAAAAAAAAAAAGGAAAGAAACTTTTACTCAGCCTTAAAGTTAAATCTTTATGAAGAAACTTATTGTAAGATTTTCAAGAACGGTTTGGGAGATCCAAATCTATGTGAAAGATGAAACTGTTATATGCTTATTTTTTATGTTTGATGTATAAAGAAAAGCTTACTTGGCCAAAGGCGATTTGGTTTTGGCTTGAACAAGCATCCTTTTAAGTTCTTTGGCAACTTCGATAATTTTCGGAACTTCTCCTACATAGCCAATGCATCTCAGTGAAAGTATAAGGAAAGCTTTCATTTGCAATAGCTCTTGTTCCTTGCAGCTTTCCACCAATGATGGATCAATAATCTCAACAAATCTGCCATCTTCAACCAACTTGATAGGAGAATCCTTGTATAGTTTGTCAACAAGACTCGGGTTCATTGCGGTTATAAGAGTAAGCATGAATGCTCCAAAGCCATAGACATCAGTGTTTTCTGTTACTCTTCCCGAGTACATATAGTTGTGATCAAGGTACCCAACAGTTCCCTCTACAACATCTTCAACAAACTTTTCTCCTTCTGGAATTAAAACAGAGTTGTCGAACTCACTAAGCTTCGCTGTCCCTTTCTCATCCAAGAAGATCTTACACGGTATCATATCTTTGTGGATGATACTTTTTGAGAATTCAGTGTGAAGGTATGTTAAAGCGTCTGCGACCTCCTTTGCAATCTTCATTCTCATATTCCATGGTAACTTCAGATCAAATAGATATCGTGGCCCATTTTTTGGTCTGCATATTATACTCTCTGCATATTCATAGACTAGAACTGGATAAGGAA